TTAGACTATAACATGAACATAATGATTTGGTCCATTGTTAAAGTTTTTTTTCCCCAATATAATTTAAAAAGTAATATTACTGATATATTTGCTATAAATCACATAACAGTATTTATTAAAAGAAATGAAATATTAATGTATATTCTCAGTAGTTTTAATTTGCTAAACCAAGTAGTTTTTCAAGTAATAATTGTCTCTTATGTGAACTGAGGAAAAATATAATTTCCAGCTTTATTTTTTCAATTGGTAATTTTTATTTTCACTAAATGTTAAGTATCAATGTAGTCGTTTTTATAATAATAGATTAGTACGCAATTGTATGTCAACACATTATTTATTACCTTAAACTGTCTGGAATTTATTATTAAAGGGCTGCGCTTGCGTAAAATTTACTATCGTGGAAATTCAGCTTTTTTGCCTTTTGGCTAATCTCATCCCTGAAAACTGGAATGTCATGTTTGTATGTTTATGAAAAATTATATTTTTAGAAACAATAAGTAAACTGTCATTATTATTTTTTTTTTAAAGGGTCTGGAATGAATTTTTTCCAAGGGTATGAAAACCCTGTATAGTCAAACTTCGTTTAAGGTTCTGTATCTCAAAAGAATAAATGAAGTTGTCCTATTATTTCTGTGGGGCATTCAAGTAGAAAGGCTATGAATGATAAATTCTAGATTACTCAAAGGATCATTTAAAGCCTTTATGCGTATGATTTGAATAAAAAACACTGATCTTTGAAAAACTTATGCAGCTTTAACATTCTGATCATCAAAGATCTTTTATTTTATTAGTGTTTCTTAATGGTTTTAAACATAACATTGATAGTGAATAATGCTTAACGTTGTGAAGAAAAGCTGAAATAATACCACTTAAAAAGGCATAATATGGTTTCAGTTCTATAATGACAAACATTTTTCAGTGTAAAAACACAAAATTAAGTAGGAAAATGCATGCAGAAACGCTGAAGAAAATTGCGAACAAGTTACAACAAGGAAAAAAAAAATTATACTAATTAATAGATGAGGGGAACAAGCATGAACAAAAAAAAAGGGAGATTGAGGATTCGTTTGATAAGAGTAGGTTCCAAGAAACAGAAGGTGAATTTGTTTGTTAAATATGTGTGTTATTTAGTGTGACGATGTTTAAAGTTACAAAATTGGGCACAAAAATATACTTTTTCTAAAGACCTTTTTTCGACGGTTTCGGATTTCATACCCCCAAAATATAGGGGGTAGCTAGAATCTGGAAAATACTGTTACAGTAGCAGAGTTCTCCCTATAAAAGAGCAGGGTGCTTCGTCATAGAGACGAGCACTTTGTGTTTTGAAAAAGCACTCTCTTACACTGTTTGTTAAAATGTGTAATGTTATGCAATACATAACTGAATTTGATCCTCAATTTTTAAATTAACCTCTTATACTATTTTGTGTGGATATTTCACAAAATAATTCTTTATCTTTATCAAATATCAACAACAAAAATATTTAAGTTTTTAAAAATAATTGAAAACAAGCTAAAACACAGTCTTTGTGCATAAATTTTCTTTAAAAAAGAAATTGAGCTAAGAAAAAAAAAAGATTAATTGATGAACAGCTTGAGAGGTTTTTTTATATATTTTAAATTGGAAAATCTAAAAAAATAAACATTTAAAGGTGCTTTTTTAAATAAAAGGTATTTTAAAAAAAACATGGTTAATTTTAAAATCACTAAAAAACTTAATAATAGACCCTCCCCCCCCCCCCCNTAAAACCCCCCCCCCCCCCCCCCCAAAAAAAAAGAAAGACGTGAAAACTTCTGGCGGGGAATGTTATGCGAATTTTAACTATATAACTAGGCAACATAAAAAATATAAAAAATTCTTACTGAAATGAAGGTATGAAATTAAAATTGAATAATTTTTAGTGACTAAATAAGTCAGAAGTGAACTCTTTATAAGAAACGGATGGCTAGAAGAACAACCTTTTTCCGAAAAAATAAAATGTCAGTGTTTCTGAGTAATGGCGGCTTATCTTTATTTAAAAAAACAAAAAGGGAGCATTTATAGAAATCAGAGAGCATGAAGGGCCCTTCTTAAAATAGATGGAGAACACAGCAATTGTTTGATCGGGAATATGGTTCAAAGTTTGAACCCCTTAATGACAATTTTACTTTTTGTGTATTTCATCATACCTTGAGGACTTTTTAAGCGAATTGAAAAATATTTGCACACTATTATAAAATTCGTTTATCCAAAGATAATTCCATGCCGAACTTATTTTTTAGTAAATATTATTTTATTCAACAATAGTTTAAACATTTTGAATTCATGCAAATTTTTTACATTATTTTAAAGTATGCAATTTTAAACGGAAAAATACGAAATTTAAGCAAAATCAGTTGAACAGTTCTTGCGAAATGTAGATAGACTTTTTGAAATTCAATTTCTTAGGAACTAATCGACTGATTTTACTCATTTCGTATTTTGCCATTTAAAAGTTGTGAAATAAAAAAAATTATAAATTTTTACTAATAGTTATAATTTGCATTCAATTCACTTAAAAAGTTCTCCAGATATGGTGAAGTAGACCAAACTATTTGAACCCTATTTCCCAGATTCCAGCTACCACCTATATTTTAAGTGCCATAAATCTGAATCCATCAAAGCAAAGTATGTTTATTCAGAGAAAGTACATTTTTGTATCTTATTTCATACCTTAAAATGTTGTTTTCACTAATTAATTAGCATATTTAATGTCATCCCTTCAAACCATTTCACAAGATACGTAAATAATTTTTAATGTATATCGTGTAAAATATTCACAAGAAAAAATATAGTTTATTTCTTTTAGTATTTTTCAATGATGAGCTATCTGATATTAAAACTTTGGAATCAAGAGGAGATATCTTCATGGAACGTTATTTACTTTTGATGAAAATAACTGGTATTTTAAGGACTACTAATCAATTAGGAGAGGGTCTCAAAGCATTATATATGTTATTATCTATGGAGGAAAAAGGTAAGAAAAAATCTATTTTGTCTCAATTTTTATGGTCGAGTTGTTCTGCTATGAAGTTAAATTTGTGTGTTTTTTTAATTTTTCGTTGTAGAGATGTAGCGAATAATCATTTGGCCAAATACCAAATTTTTTTAAAAAGAAATCATCAATGAATATTGTTTTTTATATGTAAATAAGTTTAAGTCATTGTTGATATGACTTCGAATTGTTTTTTATTAAATCTATTCAAATTTTAAAAAAAAAATAGTCGTAAAAAAACTTGCCGTACATTCAACCAAATATTTGGCTAAATTCCCAAACAGGCTTACATCCCTACTTTGTTATAATTTCGATGATAATATTTAAAAAGAAAATACATCTTAAGATGTCTTCATTCTAAATGGTTTTTATTCGTCATTCATTCATATTACAATCAATTGATTAGAAGATCTGACTCCAATGATTAGCCGAAACCTTCTTGTCAAAGTTGTCTTACAATCAATGAATAAATAAATCAATGAAATTATGATTAAAAGTGTGTTAAAATTTACAATGTTTTATACACAAAAGGACTGTGAAAGGGTTTTATCACAGAACTCTGCAAATTAACTTTTAAGTGAATTGTGTTTGAGCATAATGAAGGAAAAAGTTTTAAGGCTTAACTGTATCACAAATTAGAATATTTAATATACTTTGAAATACAGTACAGAACCCATTATCCGGAATTCAGAAAACCGGAACAAAATTCAATGAATCCCCCCCCCCCTTTTCTTAAAAATATTTTTTTTTTCCCTTATAAGATTTTAGGATTTTTCTTTCTTTTTTGAAAGATGTTTACCTTACCATCATTTTGGAAATAATCATTAGTGTATTGCTTCATCGTTTTTTCCTCTTTTTAAGATTATTTCCATTTTTTTTTTGTTGGGTTTAACAATAAAAAAACGGGGTTTTTTAGCGATTCAGAAAACCGGGGAAATCAGTTATCCGGAATAGCGATGGTTCCGATCGTTCCGGATAATCGGTTCCCTACTGTAGTAAGCAAAATCTCTCACTCTATAAAAAGTAAAGAAAAATTGAAGCAAATATATCTAAATATAATTAATTTTGTAATTTCTTATATTAACAAATAAAGTTATTTAATATACACGAATCTGTCTTCCACCTGCTCAAATGTGATAGCTTTAAAAACTATCTTGGATTCTCTAACTATGAATTTTCTTTCATTATAAAGATCCAGGACAGTGAAAGCATTTATGTAAAGTAATTCATTTGTTTCCTAAATGTAACATCTTTGAAATTTAGCCCTGGAAAGCCTCAGAGTGTTTTATTTTTACCTGGTGATCGGTTATATTGTGGTTAGCTTTATAAAACGTAAAGTTGGTTTTTAACTTATCAACAACTTATCTTACATTTCCCCCATAAATTTAACCAGAATTGCCTCTGATGCACTGCAGATCATTAAATATCTGGAAGAAGAAGAAAAAAAATACATGCCAAAATATCTGAATCATGCCAAAGAACTAGACTATATGATTCTATTAGTCTTTTAATCCTCTTAAAATAAATAAATGTAGCTCCTGTTTAAAAAGCCTCTAAAATCACTAAAGAAACTTTGACTTTGAGCTGCCTCTAATTTTTGTTCTTCCTGATTTCCAATATGTTAATAGTCTGTTTATTTGTTTTGTACACAATTTTTGTAAAATCTTATTTGGTAAACAGTATGTTAAAGTGTAAGAAGGCACTGCATTAATTTCTACTATAAAAATTTTTTACTAGAATTTACTATAAAGATTTGCTCAATTGTAGAACTTATATTGTAAATAAATTGTTATTTCAAGTAAATCATGATGAACTAAGATGTTGCTTACACGATGGGGTGTTTATTAGAGATTAAAAAGTTTATTTGTTATATAAAATATTTTATTTGTTTTAATTTATTTATTGTAAAAAATATGAATGCATGATGTATTATACTTAAACATTCTGAGAAAAACTTTCTATTGCACATACAATATATATAGACATCGTCCAAAATAAAAATATATAAAAATATTTTGTATTAAACTATATATGTATTAAATTTCGGCATCCTTGTATATTTTTTGTCACTTTTATTGAAATTTTGTGAAATAAAAATATTTATATTTTAGTAATTGTTAGAGTGAATAAAAAAAAAAGTGGACTGTAGAACACTATTTATCTGGATGTTATTTCACTGAATTGTCCAATTAAATGGAGTGATCAAGAATCATGCATTTCCCCCCTTGAATTGAATTGTTAAAAGGTAGAGAAAGGCAAAAATAATTTCTCTAGAATATCGCGTGAATTCAAATAGCTTGCAATTGCCAGTTCTAAGCCTGAAAAAATTATGAAGAGGGGCTACCTAAGAAACATTATTGCAATTGTTTCTTTTAAGTTATCTGTATTTTTTTTTCTTGATCAACTTTTATTCTGATCTGTCCAGATAATCTGCTTTCTACTGCAACTTAACTATTGTGATAGTTTTACAATATTTTTTCTAATTAAAATGCTTTTTTAGATGTAACATTTGAAGAGGATGCTGCTTTCATAAAAGGTAAAATTTTAAAAGTTATTAAAAGTATATTAGTAAAATTGAGCTATCTACATCAAGTTGTTTTAAATTTGGCTCAGTGCTTTAAATATTGCTAGTAATTGACCAACAAGCCTACTGTCGTTTTTATGGCAGTATCAAATTGTGTGTTATGAAATATAATAATTATTTTTGTCCTTGAATCTATTTTTTGTCTAACAAGTAATTAGAACCCTTAATTATCATAAAAAAATTTAATTTTCATAAAGAAAATTTTTAATTTTATTATGAAACTTTTAGTATGCAATTTTGATATTTAATGTTTAATAAAAAAGGCATTGTTTCCAAACGATTTTATTCTCAAAAGAGAAGTTATGAAAGTTTTGTAGCTATTAATATTTTTGAAATGGCTATTCTGCCATCTTCTAGAATACAGTAAAATCAAAAAAGTCCAAGAACATATGATTTTATGAAGGCTGATTTTATATACCAAATGGGGAAAAATTAATTTCAATTAAACATGATATACAATATTTTAATTTATGGAAATGTTTTTAAATAATAGAGTAATTGCTTGTGTATCAAAATGTGAAATAGCCAATTTAGCATGTTTAAAAATTCATAAAAGTTTTTGTAAATTTCAATTTATTTCTTATTCTTTGCTGTGAAGTTCATTTTGAAATATCAAGCACTTTTTGAACCTCTATTAAAAATAGATTTATCTTATTGAATGATTGATAATCACATTAACATTGAATGATGATAGACATAATTTTTGTCTATTCATAGATAGTTGTGATCTAGATTCATCCGTATTTTTTTAAAAAATTTTCTTCTTTTAATTTTCCGAAGAAGTGTAATCCACTTCTATAACTTTGTATGTGTATTGGAGGAAAAACCAAATTTGTTATGTATTGCACATCCTTCAAAACTTGGGAAAATAAAAAATTCTTTTTAAGTTTTTTTCTTTTCAAGACATGGCATAGGCCTAACAAAAATTTTATTACATAAAAAGTGATAATGATTTTATTAAAGGGTTCTTTTAACACATTTTGACATTGTGATGATTCTGTTCTTACAGATTTGATTTTAGAAAGCAGCCGTTAGTCCAATGATTTTATTAGTGGTGGTCACTGTAATTTCTTTTTTAATAAATAAATAATTAATTTGATTTTCAATACTCATGTTTTTAGGAGATAACAATTGTACAGTTTGAAAAATAATGATAATTATAAAAAAAACGGTGATGCAGCAAATCTGCATTAATACTTTTTCCAACATCTTGATTTCCAATTTTTAAATGGTCTTGTTCTCATATATGTGTTTGTTTGATATCAGAAATAGAACATTTTATCCTGAAATTACAGGAAATGTTTTACATGAACCAAAAAATTTCATATGTTAATAATTGCACATTTGTATTTTAACTAGGAATTTTTTAATTTGTTTTTACTCATTATTATTCCTTAATAACAACTATGTCTTCAATTTTGTTCTTTCATAACTTAGTGCCAAGAGTTTTTTTTTTTTTTTTTTAATGAGACAAGTTAACTTATTGATAAATTTATTTTCTTTTGTTGAACAAAACTCATTTTTTATAAGATTCTTTTCAAGTCTAGTTTTTTTATTTTATGAAATAAGTTTAGATATTTTTTATTTATTCAAAAGTATGATCTCTTTGATGTGCCATTGTTTATTTATTTTGTTTTATGTCATTCTTTTTATTATTTTATGAAATAATTTAAACTGATATTATTTATCAGATAATTTTTTTTTTCTTTTTCACAACAAAATTTTTTTTATTGCAGAATTCCGTACACTATATAGTATGTATCTCACGGATCTTTTGAATGAGGAAAGAATTGATGAAGCCTTGGATTTATTTGAAAAAAAGTGTGGACCCATTAAAGAGAATTTAAATTTGAACATCTATGCCTGTGTAAGAAGAGGTTTGCTTCTTTCCTATGCAGAAAAAGGATTGATAGACAAAGCAAAAAAACAATTTCGTATTGGATACATAAAAAATAATTATCCAAAGGTAGGTTCTTTCCCATTCTCTTAGATAATTTCATTTATTAAACCAGACAGTGTGCAGAAAAAGGTAATTCTAAATAACTTTTGGTTTAATGAATGGATCTTCATATACTGTTACTCAATCTTAATAGTTCAGAAGCCTAACCTTAAATATACTAATCAATTAGAGCAGACCATATTTTAATTAACGAAATCAAATGTGAAAACTTACTTTCTCTTAACCCCTTCCTTCTAGCTCCCATGAAAATGGCGGGGTAAGGTTTTGCCCTCTATTTCTCGCTCTCGTAAAATTTCTGGGCTGGAGTGTTCAGTAGTAACGCACCTATAAGAATAAAACTAATTCATTTCTTTTGCCCAGAAAACGTTTCATTTCTCATTTTACACACCAGGTGGCAGTAGCAGGATAATTTTAAAGTAGCTGTAGATAGTTAGTTTATTTTAAACTAGATGTCAAAAAATGGGCACTTTTATGACCGTTTTCTTGAAAATTAAACGATCATTAAGGGGTTAATAAAAAAAATTTTTCGGGATTTTGATTCTTGTCCCTCTAATGTTGGAAAAAAGCTACATAGTTTCTAAGTTATCAAATTTTTAAAAAAATTTATATTTAAAATTTAATGTCTCAGAACTATTTAACAGACTTCATTCAATTGTTATATTTTGCCTTTAAAAAGTACATTTTTTAAAATAATGTAAAAATTTATGTACCTAACAACTCGAAAATTTTCAACCATTAATAAATAAAATGATAAATAATTGTTAAAAATTATTGACACCGGGGAAATTCTTTGGATGAATACCTTTTGTAATTTTGTGCAAAAAGTAAAATTGACATTGCGGGATCCAAACTTACAATCATTCTCTTAATCTGATTACCACCTCTTACTTTATAAAAAGTTATTCAGGGTATTCACTTTTTTATTTTGCACTCTATCCATGTCGTTTCCTTAGTTGGCACTCAAATTTTTTTTCAACCTTAATGTCATTAATTCAGTCTTTACCTCAAATAAGCTTGGATAACTCCATATTTAAATTAAACAATTAGAGCGTTTATTATCAATCTGTCAGTTTAGGCAGGCTCAAAATTTGATTCCAAACAGCATTTTATAAAAATGAATAAATTTCTTTAAGTTGTGAATTAATGTTGACCTAATTTTTGTTCAGTGCCCAAAATAAAAAAAACTGACCACTTTGATTAACTTTCGATTGGATCTCCTCATTCTCAGAATCAGTATTAAAGTTTCAAGGGGGTGACCTCAAATATGCAAATTAATTAGTGCAAACGATATTTTAAGTTACAAAATCAAATTACAAAAACTTAATTTCTTGGAATAAACATACCTTTTTTTTTATGCATTCAGATTTCTTACCATTAACATGTAGAGGGTACTTGTAATCTGGTAAAATGTTTTGCACAAATTATGAAAATTTTTTGCCCAAAGAGAATTCCATGCAGAATATAACTTTTAGTATGTTATCGATATTTTTTTTTATTCTTTTACTTAATAATAGTTTAAAATCTTTAATAATTAATCTTTTAAAATTTTGCAATTTAAATGGCAAAATACCAACTTTATGTGAAATTGGTCAAATGATTTCTGAGAAATGATTTGAGCAATTTCTGAGAATTTTAAAAAGCTGTACTTTTAAAATTCGATATTTCCGAAACTATTCGAGCAATTTTACTCTAATTTTCTATTTTGCTCTGTAAAATGCATTTTTTTAAAAATAATTTAATAAAATGTATACATTACAATTCCAATTTTTTTCAATGATTAGTAAATAAAATTACAAAAATTGATAAATATTCACGAAAAGTTATTTTTTGCTCTCGAGATATAGCGAAATAAGCAAAAATTTAAATTAACTAATTTTAGACCACTCCTGATCAAACTATTGCAGGGGTCTGTCAAGGTTTTTCCGAGAGGTACATATTTTGTGAAAATTTAGGCATGAAAAATTAAAAATTATATTAAAAAATCAACACAAAATATGGATTTATCGTTTCTTAAGGATAAAATAATAAAATTTTAAGAAAAAGTATATTGTGAAACTACCGTTTTTCCTAAAGTTGAATTTGTAAAGATACCGCTGAACGGTAGTAAATTCGGCCTGTGCCGATCCCTGTATTGGGACGATATTTCTCAGATGGCAGCTATCCCCTTTAATTTGGGATCGGAAACCCAAATAAATCGCGAGGGGGGGGGTATTTATTCAGAGAACATACATTTTCTTGTCTAATTTCGTAGTTTAAAATACTATCTTCACCAATTAATGAATATATTTGAGGTTACCCCCTTGAACCTTTAAATTTGAGTTCTAGAAGTTATTCATGGTGCTCTTTTTTTTTTTTCTTCTTCTTACTGCATACTCATAGTTGTGGGACCTCACTTTATGATATCCAGGTTATTTTAAGTAAATGTTTTATTTTTTGACAGGAAAATTCTAACAAGTTTAATATATATATATATAACTTGTAAGTTAGTCCATGTTTTGTATTTTTGGCAAGAAATTTTTGACCCTAGTTAGCACAATTCCGATATTACGCTTGCAGTATCTCATTTGTTGAGGGTAGAGTGTGAATGATTGTAGTTTTTTGAAAAAAGTTATAATTTTATGAAATGTATCTATTTTTTTCTATATTTTAATTCTTATTATAAGCATCTAAAACTAATATACAAATGTTTTGAAAAAGTGATGAACATTTATTTTTCAGCTTGATGAAAATCCAAAGCAACCATTTTGTTATTGGATTAAAACTTTTTGGACAAAATATGAAATAAAATTTGCTCTAGAAATGTTTTTTGAAGAATTGCATCCAATTTTGCTTACCAAGAATACGCCTGGCTCCAGAGGTTGTTTCAAAATTTGGCTCCAATTAAGGGTAATAATGAATTATTTTCCCTTTTCCCCACAATTCTTTGGTTTGCGTTGCCCACTGTTAAATTTATATGTTATTGATATTATTGTTCATAATATTGCAAAAGAATTTATACATATCATGCACCTTAGAGAGACATACACCCATACAGAGAGAATAAAACCATAGAATGCAGTATTTAATGTATGGTAACGGTTAAAGTAAAATTATGGTTTTCAAAATTACAATTCTTATTACCACAAATCTAGTAAAAAATAGAAGATTGAAAAGTAAATTTAACCAAATGCATGATTTTTAAGTCATGCTTTAAAGTATCATGTTAAAATTACAAATTTTTACCTCATTTACCAAATTTTAATACATATCACTTAACCATATTTTATTGTTAACATTGCAAAAATCAATGCCAAAATAAAGCTTAAATTTGATAAAACTTAACCAGGGTTGGGTTTTTGACGTCAAAAAGTGATTTTTGACATGACAAGGGTATAATACTGGTTTAAACCGTCAAAAACTGAAGTTTGCCAAGAAAATATATAAACTTCAAAACTACCAACAGTTACCATGCATTATATTGAAATTTAATTATACTATAGGTAATCAGCAGGTTTTAAAATATTTTTTAATTAAAATTAAGGTAAAATAACAGATTTAAAATCTCAGAAATTTATATTCAAATGCATGTGCAGAAAAATTTTGCACAAAAATTTTTTAAATATTTATATTTAAAAAAAA